CCGCAAACCAGTGGAGGTTTTCGTTTCTATCCGCGGAACGGCGTATGCTATGAGTTTGGTGTGACCGGGTCGCACATCGAGTATATCCATATACACCGACGCCTGGTGGGAATGGAGAGCCAGGAGCAAATCAAAACCAACCAACCAACTTATCCGACGATTACGTTGAGCATATCCGTCTACGACACATACACGAATTAGTTCGACCGGCCGCTAGATAACGCCACAGATATAGATAACGTATTACAAGCATTCTTTAGATGGACTAACTAAAACGAGTAAAAAAAAAGAATGGCTGCATATCCTTAGCAGTTCCAAACCAGTAATCTTCAAACACGATACACTTGAGACAATTTTCAGAAAATGAAAAAAAACTTATAATTATAAATATATTTGAGCAATTTGAATACAAACTAAATATGATTAATTATTTATTAATCATTGCTGAAGTGCTTTCATATTCAACATCAAGATTATTTATCTATTTTGTTTCGCATAAGCTGTGACAAATACTATTAGATTCTGTACATGTTAGACCTTTCGGGATATTCTGAATTTTCAACAAGTAAATGTTTTCTAATAGGATTAATTCGAATAGGAAACTATTAAGTTTTTCAAAACATTTATGTGATAACGTCAAAATTTGTCTAGGAATAACGCAGTATATGCAACATTATAATTTGAATACAATTCAATTATTTAACCAAATGAAATAAATAAATGTATACCAGTTGTACAAATAGCCTCCTTTATAAAAATAAATGCATGAATGTTCATAGAAAACGTTTAAAAAATAAATCAATTCAAACATTTCAGAAGATATCAAACTAATATACTTGTCAAATATCGCGTAGCCCAGCTTCATATAAATCTAAATATAAATTTCCATATAATTAGTGCAAAAAAAAACAAATTTCGAAAAATGATAATTGGCAAGTATCGAGTAGTCAGTAGCCAACGTTTATACGCATAATATTAATTGATACAACCATTTCTCTAGAACAGATGTAAAATAAACCAATTTTGGAATAAATGAATTTATTTATATTCTTTAATTTAAAAAATAAAGAAACTATGCACTTTTTAAATAGTGAGCAATTTCAAAACAATTGCTAATTGCAAAATAAACAAGTGCATTATAACTGATGATTGGCATTTTTTTCTATTCTAAATTGAATAAAAAAACATTTAACTTCGTATAGGAAACTGGTATTTACTCAAATGTTTATTAACATCAGTATTATTATATCACATAATTAAATTATATTATTTAATAAATTACTAATGGAAATATTAAATAATAAGTACTGCAGAAAATGTTATATACTTTACGTAATTCATATAATATTAATACAATAAGAATTTAATTATATAATATATAAATTGTTTTTAAAATAAATAATTAAAAACAATTACAAATTACGGAATTAATAATTGTTTAGATGATTTGCAAAAAAAATTGAATTTTAAATTGAATGGAAAATATGTACATCATTGTTGAAAACTATTATTCAAAGAAATTGCGCTTTTATAATATAAAAATAGAATTATTTTTCATGACTTAATAATTCATTATATTATCTGATCATATTATATAATAATAATATTACTTAATAACTTAATAAATAATTAATGTGTCAGATGTCATATAAAATAAATCACTAAATAATTTGATTGACATAACAATATTTCAACAATTATGCATAATTTTTATTCATCGCAATTTTAAAAGAAAAAATAAATTTTAATAGTAAATAAAATTAATGAAAAAATATATAAATCCTTGAAGGCAATGTGTGCATACATTAAAGTACGATTTACCAAATATAAATTTAAAAAAAAAAAAAAATAGATAATGTGGGATCTTATAACCTATTCTTAATTCCTTATTTATGAATCATCAATATAAACAGTGCATTTAATTTAAAACTTTTTAAAATGAAATATTGAATAATTAAATACAACTATAAACTTTTTTCAAAGAAAACTATGAATAAAAGAAAAGGTAAAATCTGATTTGTAGTATTTGCACAATGTGCTGATATATGTATAGTTGTAACATTTATTAAACATTAACATTTAAACTATGATTAACTACTTGATACTAATTTTCAACATAAACTTTGTTATTTTTAATAATTATTTGTTATTATAAATAAACATATAAGAAATATAACATTAACTATTAACTAACGAGAAATTAATTTGAATATCACTTATGTTTTGTCTAAATTGAAATTAATGGTATACAGAAAAGGCGAAAGCAGAATATTGTTATTAAACACGATAAATGATGATAGATTACTGAATATGAGCATCATTTTATAATTAAAATATAATATATAAATGTGTCACATTTAATTATGGTCGTTACTTTGTAGTTCTCTACTAATGTTGTGACATTGTATTATCAATCAACAGTCAAGTATTACAGTTGCAATGTTTAAAGTCCAAGTATTACTAAGCAATACTTGCCAATTAACATGTCAAGTACACATAGTGGATTGTTTAAAATGATATATGTAAGTACAGTAATACCTCGCATAGTGCGGGCAATCGGTTTCGCAAATATCCTGCACTGTTTGAAACCGAAACAAGACTTCACTGAATAGAGAAAAAAACGATAATTTATGTAAAAAAAAAATATTGTATCCTATTTTTATTTGCTCAATCAAACAGTAGATTACTTTGAAATTTTGAAACCGTACTATAGTGAAGCCGTACTATACGATGTATTACTATAAAAATAATTACATAAATAAAAATCAATTGACATTCTGCACAAATTATTATTCTTTACTTTATAACAAATAAGATATTGGTATTAATTTCAATATAATATGAAAAAACTTGAATTACAAATATTAAATTATATTTTCTGCAGAGTAAAATATTGACAATATGATTCATTTATATATAGATTACTGAAAATGTACATTATTATTTCATCATAGTATAATTAAATGAGTCATATTATCAATAAACTATTGCGCTTGTCCATCAATATATTCCAGATAATACCGGAATTTCTTTGCAAGTAGATTTACAAGAAAAATAAATAGAATAAATAATTCTTTAAACATTATGGAAAATTTAATCTTTGACGGAAAGACCTATGGTCAATAGCCTTTTGTAATAGTTGATCATTTTTAACATAACACATGTGAGTGTTATACTAAATAATATTCTTAATTATTTTTTTGAAATCTTAGGAATAAAATAAAAAAATAGATTTCAATAAGCCAACATTTAACAATAAATTAATTGAAAATTAGATAATAACTCATTCCTTACGAATTTAAATAAATATATTACCTCCATATATAAAAAAATCAATGACAAATAATATTGATCTTTACTTATATTCAGTTCTTTAAGTTATAGCTTTTGTACACTTGACCATCAAAATATCAAATATCATTATTTAACATTTAATTTAATACATAACAGATTCAGTGTAAGATGATTTGCAAGAAACTAACGAAAATATATTTTAATAAATCATTCTTTAAGCATAGTCAAAAATTCGTGACTTGATCAAAAAATTATTTCCCAAGAATCATCAAATAATTAATTTAAGCTTATATAAGATTTCATGATAAAAAAATATTGGTATTTTAATGTCAAAATAAAGAAATATTTGTTTAATTGAACATCAATATATGAAGTTTAAGAGAAAGATACAATAATTTAATTGTCAAAAACGAAGATAATTTGTATTGTAGCATCATTGTAACATATATTATAAATATAATATCATATTTAACAGATCATATTTATCAAAGGTGATTTGCAAAAATTGTTACCTATAACTCGCGCCGGTGTAAAATGTACACCAATTTTCTAAGAAATGATACCACATCTATATTTTCTTTCCTGCATCTATGACACTTAACGTAACCTATGTTCAAAGTGTTTACTAAATGTCGGTGCAAAATTGTGTTACTGCAGCACAAAGAAGTTGTTTTGTGCATGTTTGTTCTTGCTCTGCAGTGTTGTTGTAATAGCAGATGTTGATCCCTCTACTTACGTTTATATAGAGGGCAATGACGACAACTCTGATTCATAAATTATTAGATTAATTATTATATTAATGTATTACAAATAGTTATGAATCTAATAAAAAAGCATTAGTAAACTTGAAAAATTAGTTACAATCATTTATGCACTTTGTCTGGCAGTAATACATGTGGTGTATAAAATACACCGCGCGACTAGTTCATAGAAATTTCAGTGCGCAAGTAGTTAAAATAAACCAATTAGATTGGTATGAGAAATTCCTCAAGTAACATTGTAACTATGTTCCTAACTTTAACATATATTGTAAACAAAATATTACTATTACAAAGATTCAATTAATTTCATCAAACATTCTTTAAAAATGAAGTCAAGAGTTTAAAACGATTTTTATGTATAAGAAAACCTACATATAATATTGTCATAGTTTAACATATATTATATACCTAGATAATTATATTAAATAACATATTAATTATTAATAAAGTTATGAATAAAATAATTTAATAAATTATTCTTTAAATCAAATCAATAACATCAAAAATGAGATAACTAGTAAATCTTTTGCTAGGTGTATCATGTTCATTACTTTAACTTGTATTTTATATATGTATAACAAATTAATTTTAAGATTATTAGCAAGAATTTAACAATTTATTATATACAAAAACTCAATCTTTAAAAATTAAGTTCAACAACTAAAGACAAACTGCTATTTCACTGTTGAGAAACCTCTCAAGTATTATTGTTAATCACTTTAACCTGGATGATTTACAAGAAGTTAATGTAACAATTATTCTTTAAATATCAATTCAAGAGTTTCAACTCAAAGAATGTATGTGAAACCCCATAAAATAATGTTTGTGTATTGTGAATATGTTTATCATTTAAATGTGCCGCCTAAATTTACGGAGTGCCCCTTATGACCGAGAAACTCGATTAGAGCAAATCGCAACAAGGGTGTTCTGATTTGGATGACTCACCGCCTCCTGAGAAACACCGGTTATCTGCCATCACTCCAACATTTATGGCGCCCCATTCGATCCTGCAAACGACGAAACAAGAATTCAATTGATATTGCAATGAGCGACGACAGGAAGAGATGAACGTGAACGGGACAAGGGAGGACTTGGAATCTCGGAACGGAAGAGAAGATGGCCATTTTCTGGTATGCAGACGCGTGCACGGCGAACAGGTCGTTCGCCAAAGTGGATTTGCAGTTGGATGTGCATGTGCATTTTTTTTGCAACAGCAGCAGCCATGATCACTTGCCTCCGCGGTTTCATCTCTTTACCGGAGAAGTTGTAAGATTATTCAATTGAAATAGATCAAAGTATAATAATGACACACACACAATACCGATTTGTTTACACCTGTCGCTAGGTGAATTACGTGAACGCTAGCCGCTTTGATTTCGGCGAGAATGGCGGATTGGGAGAGAGAAATTCGCTCCGTGTAACGGATTCATACATGTCATTTATTTGTGTTATGTGTGTGTTTTTTTTAGTGTCTCTCGCAGATTATCCTTTCGGCTGGGATCCTGGGATGGACGGGCGTTCCGGCGAACGGAAAATTACGCAGGCGAATCGATATAATACACGCAGCTAGGCGAGAGACGGGCGGGCGGTAGGAGGACGAAAAAAGTAAACGGGAAGATCCCGCGACCCGTCCCATATTTATACAAATTACATTACACGTATTTATATGAAAATGGCGTCACGTGGTCCACACGGGTTTATTTTTAGATGCCCGATACACTCGGCATTCCTGTCTCTCTCTCTCTTTTTCTATCTACTCGCATTTAGGTACTTCACTGTCTCTGTTCTCTCGATATCTCCGCGAAGTGGATTTAGAACGAAGTTAATAATGTAATTGTGATATTATGGGCCAGAGGGAACAACCAACAACGTGGATGGTCGAAAAAATGGTGTTTACCTTTATGCTATGGGAATCCGGTCGTGGCCGGTGCCGATCCGGTGGAGCGCACTCTGTGGACCGTACTTTTCGCCTCTCCGGTGCAAAAACGCTTAATTCCCATGCATCGCGATAGAAAAAGTCGCGGGCGAAAAGATGGCGACCGATAAATCGTTCTCTTTCACGGTCATAATATCAAGGCATATACGTGAACTGTACTATACTATATTACTACAACTGTACGATATTCTCGGTAAACTCGGACAGCACTTTCCGCCGAAGGATAACGATTTGCAGGATACAGGGAAGCAGTAAATCCTCTATTTTCCTGGAGAGAATTTGCGATGAAAAACTTGGATAGAAGTAGTAGTAGTAGTTACTGGGTGGTTGTTAACATGCAGCGGAACCGACGCAAGTGATCGAAAGGCGGAGGATTACCGGTCATATGCAGGGCAGGCTCCTAAATTGATCCTCCGAAAGGCACAGCACAAAAGAACACCACCGCACCGACGTTGATGTAGTAGATGTATACGTTGATGTTGTCGAAGGAAACGACGGCCGCTCTAGTTGCAACTCTCTTTATGTAACCGACGTGGTCGCTTGTGTAAATCCTCGCCTGCTGTTGGAAAACCGACTACTAATTGAAACGGAACTACCATTCGTCACTGCTCACTACGTGCGTGTACGTCTCTGTTTATTATTTCTCTCCGCCGAGTTGTAGTTCATATATATATAAATACATATACACACTTATTCACACACACCTACATATATATACACACTAGCACATTCATATACATGTATAAACATTATATATATTTTTTTTCTTTTGCATGCGAACGGTCGGTTTTCAGCACCGGTCCTCCTCGTTCGGTCCGTGCTGGTTTGTGCAGGGGGATCGCGAGATCACAGATTGATCCAGTTTTCTGGTGCTGGTCGCATCGGTAGGCGCGAGTCGTAAGCCATCCCACGGCTTTGAAGAAGACGGCGGCGTCGATCAGGATGATGAGGACCAGTACGAAGATGACGACGGCGACAACAGCACAACACCGCCAGAAAACGCCGACACATTCACTCTCTCGCCGTATACACACCGACTGCTGCGCCGCGACGTTGCCACCTACTCAACGTGCGCCTCCTCTCCAGCGCCCATTCAACTCTCCACTCCACGACGATTCACAACAAACAACACGCACGCTTACACACATCAACACACACGCACATGCATATATGTAGACAACATTGTACGCACCCGCACGCATTTTATACAACAAGCCGCTAATCAGCAACGGCCATTCAATCAAAACCGTTGATGTCCAATAAAAACTTTACTCTCATTTATTAACAAAAAAAAACAACAGCAAAATAGGTATTAAATTTCATTTTTAATTTGGATTTTTTAATGTTTATTGCGAATAGTTCTTTGTAATATTAGAACTTGATTATATTCCTAAACTTATTTGGCCCTTCAAACCGTTTAAGAAATTCCACGCTCTTCTACATCAGCGTTTCATAACCTTTTTCCCTTGCAGTTGTACTGAGATCTAATTGCTACTTTGCGACCCATTAAAAATATATCGTGACCTAATTCTGAGTTGCGTCTCATAGGTTGAGAAATTAATATATTTCTAAATATATTAATTCCTGTGTTTTTCAAACGTTATGTCTTTTTATGTTTTCATAAAAAAAATATCACGTCCTTCCTCAATTTCATAACTGCTGAAGTTTGTAAATAATTATTTTAAATTATGATCTTTTTAATAAATTATAAAAGAAAATATTTTTGGTAATATTTTCTAACAAATTCTCAGTGTATTATATTTGAAAAAAGTGTTTAGTTTATTTTAAAATCTTTTAATTGTCTGCAAAATGTAGATTTCTGCTTTTGGCTAAAATCCTAAATTTCGTTTGTACAGAAAAAAAATATGATACAAAACTCTTTTCTTCTTCCACAGCCCCCTTATTTTTATTCACTTGGGGTGAGACTTTTACATAGAATATTTAAGCGACCCTAGGGGACGGGAATTAGCGATTTATTCCTTCATAATAATATTATTTGCTTATAAAAAATAAAATTGAAAATAACTGGTTTCCCAGGCGGGTCAGTGGTTCAATTTCAGATTTCTCAAAGTAACATTTTATTGAAGTTATTGCATCAGTTAACGTTACGTCTATGTTGTTATATATCGAACATTTTCAAAGCGCTGGTCCAAATTCTAATACAGTGCGCAAATGAAAACCGCGTAAGTCGAGCGAGCAATGACAAATAAGTTGGATATTTTCAAATTTAGCAATATTTTGCATAGTACTGGACGACTGTTAAACACCGGGCTAATAGAGGAACTAAATAATAATAAAACATTAGTTATCGACTAATATCAACAAATATTAAAATTCTACAAAAAACGAGATTTTATAATAAAATTTGTTAATGTTAATTTAAAATAGATATATCTTAATATATTATATTTAATAACATAATAACAACTTAATGTTATTTTTATTTTTTCCAGAATATATACGAAAAATGAAAAAAATAATTAGGAAAATAATGAATTCTTCTTTCCAAACAAAAATGTTTTTAAAAATTTGTTCATACCAATTTGATTTATATACCAGATTCATTTTTTTTAATAACTTATTTAATTAATTTTTATAATCGAATTTATTTTATGTAACTTTTTTGTTGTTTAACATTTTACGTATATTCTATGTTTTCGTACGAATGAATTTCTTTTCTTAATCTAAGCTCGGAGGTTACCAATTTAACATTACGTCTTATAGAAAAAAATTGACAATCGGAGTACTCTGTAGTTCGTAGATTGTATAAAAAACACATAAGTGATAGAAACAATTTGCCAACAAATTGTAACTCATACAAAAAAATAAATCGATGGAATTTTAACTAATAAAGGAACTAAAAATAAACTATTAATTATTGACTAATATCAACAAATATTACATTAAAATTCTACAAAAAACGTGATTTCATAATAAAATGATTAATGCTAATTTAAAATAGATATAAGTGATTAATATAAGTACATAAAACATTAAGTACAAATTATTATTAATATATGTCAAACATTTTCTAGGTGCCGGTCCAAATTTGGCAACATTTACTACAACGCGCAAATGAAAACCGCGTAAGTCGTGCAATGACAAATATGTTGGATATTCTCAAATATAGCAATACTTCGCATAGTACTGGACAACTGTTAAACACCGGGCTAATAGAGGAACTAAATAATAATAAACCATACAAAAGGAGACTTGTAGAGACAATAATAATAAAAAAAACAGATCTGATCATTTATCTATAAAAATAATATATTTTTTTAGAAGTTATTTTTATTTAGTTGAATTAAAATTTAGTTTATTAAGTTAATCCTGACTGATCCATACTATGCGAGGTATTGCTATATAGGTTATTATAAAATAAGTAATGTTCTATACATTTGATTTAATTATAACTGAATTGAATTAGAAGATTGAAAGGAATTATATTCGCAACGAAAAGAATTTCTTATAAAAAGAAAATAATATTATGAATTAAAAATAAAATGAATACTAAATGTACAATAGTCTGTAGTTATGATGATAAAAACATGTTTTATTTATTTTAATTTACGTATGTTGAACAGTTTCAATTAAATAACTATTATAAAATTAATAGATATTGATAATTGACCCTTTACAGCAGTTTAATTTAATTTAATTTTCTTGATTTTTGATATTATATTATAGTATTGCGTTGAGTTTATATTTTGGTAATTTATTGTTGCAATAAATATTATTATTATCATCATTTAACAACTTTAATAATTATTATTTCGTAATGAACTTAACACTTTTATAGTGTTAAATATAAGTTCATATTTCGGTATTATTCATAAAGCCCACTAATTCTGTACACTGCCCAAATTATACATTTTTCTGTTAACTTCTATCTATATTTAAGTTCTATTTCGATGTATCTCTTCGCTTCTACTACGATGCCAATTCTTCCATATAAGCGTATTCTAAAATCAATACTGTGCTAAAGATGTAGCGATTTCTACCAACTCACTATAAGAAAATTTCACTAGTCCATAGTCAGAATAAAATTAAAGCATTACTATATAAAAAAAAAACTTTGTTTTAGAACTGAATTAAATAATAATTCAGCATAATTTCTATGTGAACACAACTTTATGTACTTATTAATACTGAATACATTTAACCTTAGCACAATGTAAACCGAAAAAGGGGTTTTTACTTATATTTACCCAGAATTATTATTTAATCGAGATTGAAAAATATATTATTTAAAAAATCTTATGCAAATTTATAAAAAAAATATACTAATGCAAAGGAAAATAATAATAACAAAAGCATAATTTGTAACAGAAATGTACGAAACTTTTATTTATTTATTTGTTAAGCATTAATTTTGTTCTAAAATATTTATATAATTTTATTTTTATTTAAACATATTGTACATAAAAAAATAAGTGCAAATTATTTTAATATAATATATTTATCGGGTCTATATCGCAAGCCCGACAACCGAAAGACCGGCTAATGAAATCCCGACGTTCGAAATCCCGACTGTATCTAAATCCTGACTATATCAAAATCTCGACAACCATATTCCCGACTATATCAGAATCTCGACAACCATAATCCAGACAAACATAATCCCGACTATATCGAAAATTTTTACAATAACATTTTTAAATTATTTTGGAGCGTATTCACCTTGTGCTACACTTTTATTATTAATAACAATAAATTATAATTAATTTATTTGATTTTGTTGAATTATTCATAATAATCCTTAACATTATGCAATAATATCAAATACAATCAGATTATTAATTAAGATTATTTATTATTAATAACAATTTAAAAGTCACTACGCTCCGGAATAATTTTTAAATGTTATTTTAGACATTTTCGATATAGTCGAGATTTTGATAGAGTCGGGATTATGGCTTTCGAGATTTTGATATAGTCGGGATTTCGATACAGTCGGGAATTTGATTGACGGTATTTCGGTTATCGGGCTTGTGATTTCCACCGATATTTATCGATTTTTATGTTTTAATAGAATAACTTGTACTTTTGTTCAAAGTAATCAAATATATCTGAAGACAATCTCATACATACCTTAGGTTGAATATCGATGTCGAGACAACAGTCCTTTACAATAATTGATAATTTATATTTAGCTTTTAGGTAGCTATGTATGAAATTATTTCCATGTTTATGTAACAATTTTCAAGAATATTCGATTTATAGCAGTAATAAAAACTATAGTCAAAACGTTTACAGTTCATTGTTCTTTCTCGGACATTGAAAACATACCATTTCATTCAATTTAAAAATTTAAAATCAAAATATATACAGTGGAACCTCGCTTAACTAGCACCTCGCATAACGAGCAAAATGAATTGTAAGAAAAATGACTTGCTTAACGAGTTTCGCATAACGAGTGACGAGGAGAAGAGAAGTCCTGAATTGTGCGCTTTCCAAAATAACCATAGGTATGAGTGGAGTAATACATCTCAGTGATACTCAACATTATTTGTAAGATAGTAAAAGAATCATAAGAGCTGGTATTTTCTTGATTATAACTATTTATGTAATCAAACATGCTTGTTTTTGATATATTTAATATCACTGCTAATTCACATGTCGTGTAGTGCGAGTTATTTTCGAACAATGTTATGATTTCATCATTATTACTAGCAGACCTTTAAGGCTAAAATAAATAGCTC